TGGGGGGGGGGGGGGGGGGGGAGTGGGGGGTGGGGGGGGGGGGGGGGGGGGGGGGGGGGGGGGGGGGGGGGGGGGGGGGGGGGAGATATAATAAACCCCCAAAGCAAAATTTAGTTACATTTTTTAATTCAGGTTTATTTGTATAGCTTTTCACGATACTGTACAAATCAGTATTCACTGACTGGAGTAAAAAAGTGTGACATCCTGCCAAAATACCATAAATGTACTGGCTTTGGATAAACATTTCTGACAAATGAATAAATATAAATTTGATTCGTCTTAAAACTACACAAAATTACTCTATTTTAAAGTAAAGTGTACTCTAAATGCCTTTTCCAACTAAATTTAAAAGATTATTTTCAAATCTATTATTTATTTGCGTTCAAAAAGAAGAAGATTCAGTCTGCAATTAGCATCATACTCTACTCATATTTCACTAATATTTCTATAAAAATATATTAATATTCAATTATATTATTATTCAATATAAATTATTACATACAATGTATATATAATACAGGAATTTTTTTTATAGAAGTACTCAATATATGTATAAATGAGTAATTCTATACAATATGTCACACTATATTACAAAATGCTAGCTGTATTCTAGATGCTGAAATCTAAACTTTTTGAATTGCCACTCCTGCATGTAAAGCAATCAGATTTTAAATTCTCTAAGTGCATATTTGTATAGCGAGTGTAAAATTGAGAGAATTTGATTTGTTCACTCTGCATGACGTGTGTATGACAATTTAAAGTGTGAATCAAAACAGTTCAAAGTGTGTATATGTGTTTTCAATAAAAGCATTAATTAATTGATTTATAATATATATATATATATATATGAGCAATATCACACAAATAGCAATGCGATATGGCTGCATATATGCACAGCTGTGAAACAATTGGAGTTCAGTTATCACTAAAACATTGCACTCCCCTCAACCAGATTCGAGGACCAGAAAGAACTGTTGACAGTTATTTCACTTTAATGGCAATGAAAAGAACCTATTCATTGCCATTAAAGAGAAAATACTGAACCTACACATAGGAGCCTGAAAAAAATGCTCATTTTAGAAGAAAATTTATGGTACATTATTAAATTTAATATTTTGTCATCACTTTTTATATCCTAACTAAAATTATTCTTTTTTTTTCTTTTCAGCCTGTTTTTTATGTATATATATATATATATATATATATGAAGAGTTCAGATGCAAAAGAAAATTTATGGTACATTATTAAATTTAATATTTTGTCATCACTTTTTATATCCTAACTAAAATGATTCTTTTTTTTTCTTTTCAGCCTGTTTTTGGAGTATGAACCGCAATTACACGTTGCTTGAACTCTCCAGTGAGACACCTGCTGGTAAACTGCTTTGTGTTTATTGCTCCTGAGTGAACCAACATGTCCTTGCCCGCTTTGCCAGGGCAGTGCGAGTCAGTGTGGCATGGCTCAATCGCTGTGGCAACAATTCTCAGTGTTGAGGTCTTGCCAGGATGAGCTAACAAAGGCCTGGATTGTAGGCTAGCTCTCCTCCAATCAGGGGCAGGGTGCAAGAGACATGCTCTTTTGTGGATGGGGGGATGTAGACAGTGGGGCCCAGTGATTCTGCTAATCAAAGCTCTCCAATGAAGACTAGGCTTTAGTTAGGACATGTTCTTGCATTCATCCCCTTCCTTGACACATCTGTACCTGGTTTTAAGAAAATGTGACGTCAAGCTCATGCCAACTCACTCATGCCGTAGTGATTGCACTGAACTTGTTTTTCAGACTTTTTGCACAAATGCGGCCTTTAAAATAAATCTACAGTAATGCATGGATGGAGATTAAAGACAACATGATCTTTTTTGCCAAAATGCAGAAAACTCGTCTGTGGTGTGATTATTATTATTTTTTAAATTACATTTTGCAATGTGCATTTTTTAAAGTTTGTGTCATATAATCATTCCATTTGTCTTTTAACTTCTTTACTATTGCATTCATATTAAAAAGACAGTATTTCTAATAAAACAAAACATTAAAAGCATTTCAAAAGTACAGTTTCATCAAGTGCCCTAATTAATTCACTTGAGTGATCGCTCTATTTGTGATATAGAGCCACCCACATACAAAACACACACTGAAAGGTGAAACTGACAGTGACATACACTTTTTCTTCTTCCTCTTCTTCAGAAAGTTTTCCCTCAACATGCAGTAGAAAAGTCATGATGTTGTCTTACCTGCCAAAGAAAAGATGAAAAGCCACAGGAGAAGAAACGGTGAAGGAATGGCTGTCTCTTTGCATGATGCCTCCCTCTCTGCCTTCATCTTGCGAGCAGCGCTGGGTTTCTCTCCCACACAGTCAGCATGATTTGTCCACTCAAGGCACGTCGCTGAGAATGCAGAGTGCTTCCTGCCAGATGGGACACTGGCTACTCTGAACCCCGCTCTCAGGACCCCAGCCTGAACAACAGCTCTATGTGCGAGCTCGTATGTGTGTGTGTGCTTCGCTCGCTTTATAAGGCTCTCCACAGGGCCCTTTGTGTGTGTGCATTTGTGCATGTGTGTGCTTGTCTCTGCAGTAAAGGAGTGTGAGATTTGAGGTTTGAGACGTGTTTTTGTTCTAATTGCTGTGTTACATGACAGATCTGAACAGTCACATATGACACAAGATACGCATTAGAGCACACCCACAGGAAATATGCTATTATGCCTCAGCTATGCCATTGTGAAAATACATTGATAGATAATGCAGCGTTGACATTTATTTAGTAGAAGCCATTATGTTAAGTTGAGGTTTCAAGTTCTGTCACTTGAAGGAGAACTTTTTTTTTAAGCTACTATACAACTGCTCAGGGACAAGTGCTTTAAAAAAAAAAACTCTCTACTTCACCACCCCTTACCAGGCCCTCCACATGAGCACATTGTAAGCCCCATATATCTTTGACCCACCAGGCCATAACGGATGAAAAGAGGACCTACAGGTTGCTAAGGCATCAGTCTTCAGCGAAAAGGCCTTTGTGCACAAGAACTGGATGCTTTGTTTTAAACAATTCCTATAGAGACACTTCACAATGGATTTACTGTACATGGCCAGCTTCAAATTCATTTATTTTAAGAATAGATATCATATTACTATTTATTTGAACAATGAAATATTATACAATTATTTTACAATATTCAATCATTAATTAATTTATTATTTTATTATAAGTATATTTTAACAATAACAATTTTTAAAAAATATAATTATTTATTTTAGTTTGAAGTTTTCAGTTTGAAGTTGTAACAGCATTTAATTTCAATTGCTGAAAAGAAAAAATAGTGTGCCAGGAATTGTTGTCTATCCATCACATGTTTGTCTAGAATCTGATGTCATAGTCCTGCAGTGGTCAGCTGATGCTGTGGTCATCTGACTGGACGTTTTCTCACACCCCCACAGACAGAAGCAAATATTCACTATGAGTGTAGAAGAAAATATGAACGCAAAACATCTGAATAATCCACATGTAATCCACACGGTCCATCAATTATTGTATTATGAAATGAAAAGCTGCATTTTTGTATGAAAAAACCCCATCATTAAGGAATTTTAAAATGTTGCTTCAAAATACAAGTGCATAATCCCTTCCTGTCCTCTCTCATCAAAATCCACCAACATACACTACCAGTCAAAAGCATTTACAGTAAGAATTTTTACTGTTTTCTTTTAAGAATTCTCTTCTGTTCATCAAGCAAGCCTGCATTTATTTGACCCAAAATACAGCAAAAGCAGTAATATTGTGAAATATTTAAAAATCGATGTAAAATAACTGCTTTCTATTTGAATATATTTTAAAATGTAATTTATTCCTGTGAACAAAGCAAAGTTTTCAGCATCATTACTCCAGTCACACGATCCTTCAGAAATCATTCTAATATTCTGATTTGCTGCTCAAAAAACATTTATTATTATTATTATGTTGAAAACAGCTGAGTAGATTTTTTCAGGTTTCTTTGATGAAAGAAATACAACTTTTGACTGGTAGTGTATTTGTTTAGAACTGTTTTGGGTTTTCACTTGAACGGTTCTTGATCTATGCGTATTTCTCTCCAGATTCAGACGAGGCTACTTTTTCAATGAAGAAAGGCAATATCATGGATTATGGACTCCTATTTTAGCTGGAAGCAACTGTTTGAAATTTTAAAAGGTATTAGCAATGGATTTGTTTCTTATAACATGCAGCTTAGATGTTAATTGATGGGCTGGAGTTGTGTGGATTATTGTGATGTTTTTATCAGCTGTTTGGACTCTCATTCTGATGGCACCCATTCACTGCAGAGGATCCGTTGGTGAGCAAGTGATTTCTCCAAATCTGTTCTGATGAAGAAACAAACTCATCTACCTCTTGGATGGCCTAAGGGTGAGTAAATTTTCAGCACATTTTCATTTTTGGGTGAACTATTCCTTTAACGCCAATTATGAGCAATGGTGATGCTAGTAGCAAACACAACTAATTGTTTAGTACACAGAGAAAACAATTAAAAAAACAACAGATGGCATTTCTGATAATATATGCCAAGCATGTTAGGAGAGCTAAAATTGATGATCCAGACTTTGTATCTGTCCCATATCAGACTTTGAAATGTTACTCTCCCACTCAATAAAAAGAGCAGAAGATGTATGCAAAATGGCAAAGAATGTCAGAAAGAAGCAGTTTTTCACAGAACATACAGTCTTTTGTCCTCAAGGGTCAATGCCAGAAAATGTTATGAAAAAGTTTTTAAAAAAAAGTTATTTTATTTAATTTGTTAAAAACATCCTCCAGTTACGCTCTCAGGAAAGTTGGTTTTGCAAGAAAACACAAAAACATTAAAATAACATTTTTCCTCCCATCTGAATTTGATCTCATCACCATGTCCCTTTAGGGGCTTTGGATGCTTCATTGGATATTTTTTCCAGCAATAATTATAAAAAATGTCATCTATTTCATCACACAAAGCTGAATACACTACATTTTGTGTGCAGTTTATTCCCAAGAATTGAAATATAGCATACAGTTCAAATTATAATGTTACAATTATAATGTATTTAAAATTATATATAATTCGTAAATGTAATTATTTTAGAATGATTTGTTTACTGTTCAAATATGTATGATTTATAATTTTATTTTTTAAATAATTGTATTTTATTATGAATTATTATCAATAAGTTGCTTTTATTATTATATTTTTATTTTTAATTTGAACTTTATTTTTAGTAAATTTTTTGCTTTTTCATTTTGGAGATTTTTTAGACTTCTGTTTAAATTCAATTAATTTAGTTGTTGTTGTTGTAATTTTAACGCTTCCTCCCAAACTTACTGTATTTTATTTATCTGCTAAGGCAATTCTAATTTAGATTTTTTTTTTAAAGTTTCATTTAAAAACTGAGGCCTGTTAATGTTATTTTAGCTTCATTTAAATGACCAAAAACTATTTTTATCTGCTCATTGAAAAAAAGAGCCCGTTTTTAAAAATGCACATAAAATAAATGTAGGCCTAATAGCCTTGATGAATCTGTTTGCGAGAGCTGAACTGGTTATACAGGCTCTCTCTGCTGGAGGGTTTAATGTAATGCTATTCTAAAATACATAAGAGCCAATTAAGCACGAAAACTGAAAAAGACATTGTTGTATAGCTGAGCAAAGATTTGATTTCAAAAACAGCATCATAGCTATTAAACTATATCTTATGATTTTGAATCTGTATTTAACCTCAGAACAATCTCAAAGTAGGAAGAGGTGCTACAGTTTGATTTTGAGGTGGCTGTGCTTTAAAATTTAATTAATATAATGCTTAATTCAAGTGAAGAAGGTGAGAGTAATCAGTGTTGATTAACCCTGCCTGATTTAAATGTTTTAAAGGGGTCCTATTATGCTCTTTTACAAAGTCTTGATTTTGTTTTGGGGGTGAACTAGAACAGGTTCTCATAGTAGGTTGTTCGAAAAACACATAATTTTTAAACACATATTTTAGATTATTACAACACCTCTCTCCCCAGTCTGGCATGAACGTCTCGAATAGTTCCTGTATCAAATGAAGGCCCGCCTTCTGAAATACGAAATGTGCTGTGATTGGTTAGCTGGGCCAGTGTGTGTTGTGATTGGCAGCACTGGGCGCCTGGTCGGGAAATGTCACGCCCCTTATTATACCCACCTGCGAGCTTCAGTGTAAATATTGCTCAATATCAAATCAATTTGAGCACGATTTAAACCCGGATGATTGTAACCACTCTAAGTTCGTCTGCCTTGGGAAAGCTAGCGTGTCTCCGATATAGTGATAACACTCGTTGCCTTCTCTAGTGCAGCTCAACCAGGTCTCGTCCCATTCGTCGAT